AACAAACACCATTGTCGTGCAACAAAAAAGTGACTGTTAAAAAACTGTATACAAAATAAATGTGTCATAAATTAAGCAGCTGAGCACTCCCAAATTAAAATCATTCCTAAGCAACTTCCTAGGTTTCTATAAAGTAATCAAGTTCCAGACTGTTGTCAGATAATATGATGTCCTGATTGAAAAAAAAAGTGACAGGAATTAGGCTGGTACTATAGAAGGCTAAAGAACTAACTAATTCAGAGACCAGAAGTAGTCTGCTAATGGCACTGCTGTGGTCAGACACTGCACTTTATCTAGGAAAGGACAAAATAATGGTAAGTCTAATTATTATAATACACTTACCTTCTTTCCAAACACAATTCTTCTTTAATATTTTTTAGGTGGTATGCCTAATTTAAAGTAGAACTATAGGCAAAACCTTTTTTTTTCATTTCATTTTTTTTCATAGAGTAATAAGGGAGAGTTAACCCCTGTCAGTTTATTTTTTTTGCCATCTGTGTCCCATTGGGGAGATTTACTTTCACTTCTTGTACCATAGCCAATTCAGGAAGTGAGAGGAAAATCCAAGCAAAGCAAGGAAATTCAATGGGGTCACCCGGATCTCCAGGACACCATTGGAAAATCTCCCCTCTATTACTTTTCTTGGGGAAAACCCAAAATGTGGGGTTTCTTTTTCTTTCATTTTCAATAATAATGGTAAACAGGACAAATAGAGAGAGTGAATCTCCCAGTGGCAGGGACAGTGGCACAGACTGCAGTAAAAACTGACAGGTGTTCTAATACATCTCCAGTCTATCCAAAACCAAACATAAAGTTTTCCTTTAGTTATACTTTAAAACACATAATTAAGGTAATAACAACAGTAATGAAAAAAAAGTATTAACAGCAAAGCTGCAACTGCAACTGCAAGTATACAGTAAAGTGACAATAAGTGGTTATTTTGGCACCATCAAATTCATTACCAATCTTACTACTGCAAAAGTGTGAAGAATGTTGATTGGAATATAAATTATATGAGGTCCTCATGGGGTTATAATTTTTGTAACTGCTTTTCATAGCTGGTCGTCGAACATGCAAAATCGACATTGCTCTACAGGATACTACTAAAATGCATGCAGTAATTCTGGAGGACATAAAGATAATATGCAACAGAATGTCTGGAAATATTACTAATGATACCAGTGTAGAGGCAGGCGACTTATACAGCAGGCAGGTCATACTTAGCTATTTCATGCTGTAACAAATTAAAAACACGGTTTATTTAATAAAAAGATTTCCATGACATAACAAAGAACTCCTATTTCTTATTTTTTTCTTCTATTATTTTTCCTGTGACTACATATTTTTGGCTTTTAAAGTATGCCATGACATACCAATGACATTTCTGGCAGTTCCAGAACCCAGATGTGAAAGGAATGGGTGTAGCAGACAAGTAACATATGAAGGGTGGCAGCTCCATGCATTAGGAGATTCACTGTAATTGTTTACTCTATTATATGGTTAGCTTACTTATTTCATTATTTCTGTCTGGTATTTCATATTTTCTAGTAAAATATATTTTGCAGTATGCTGGTAATACTGGAGATATCCATGAGTCACTGTGCCTATCAAACACACCTTCTGAAAACTAATTCTGTGGTATTAATACCTTTATCTAATCTAATATTAATCTGAAATTAAAAGTACTTTTGATACGTGGGACTAGTTTACAGCATACACCCAATATGTACACTTTTCACTGTCAAGTCAAAGCCATTGTTTCTAATTTTTAGGGACTCTTTAATGACTGGCATAGTACCACTGGATTGGCATAAGGTCAATGTGGTGCCAATATATAAAAAGGGGTCAAAATCTTTACCAAGGAATTATAGACCTGTTAGTTTAACTTCTATAGAAGATACTGGAGAGTTTAATAAAAGACCACATAAATGAGTTCTTGCTGGAAAAAAAAATAATTTAATCAACAGATAGCATGGATTCATGAAAGACAGAAGTCAAACAAATCTGGTTTCTTTTTATGAGGGGGTGCGCAAAACCTTGGACAGAGGGGTGGCGTTAGACGTGGTATACTTGGATTTTGTAAAAGCGTTTGACACAGTTCCCCACACACAGTTAATGTGTAAGGTAAAGTCTACAGGCTTTGAAAAATCCGTTTGTAAATGGATAGAAAACTGACTAAAAGATTTTATTCAAAGAGTAGTGGTTAATGATTCATACTCTGAATGGTCTAGGGTTGTCAGTGGTGTACCCCAAGGTTCAGTGTTGGGACCCTTACTTTTTAATATATTTATAAACAATATAGGGTCTGGGATTAAAAATACCATTTCAATCTTTGCAGATAACACCAAGCTGTGCAGTGGAATAACATCCTTACAGGATGTCTTCAATTTACAAGCTGACCTCAATGCACTGTTTAATTGGGCAACTATGTGGCAAATGAGGTTTAATGTTGATAAATGTAAGGTTTTGCACTTGAGGGTTAAGAATATGCATGTATCATACATACTAGGGGGAGTACAACTGGGAGAATCAATGGTGGAGAAGGATCTGGGAGTTCTGGTAGATCACAAGCTTAATGGCATGCAATGCCAAACTGCGGTTTCTAACGCAAGCAAAATCCTCTCTTGTATTAAAAGAGGTATAGACTCAAGAGAGAGAGCTATCAAATTACCCCGGTACAAATCATTAGTAAAACCTCATCTGGAATATGCAGTTCAGTTTTGGGCACCAATTCACAAAAAGAACATTGGGGAAATGGAGAAAGTACAGAGAAGGGCAACCAAACTGATATGAGGCATGGAGGAGCTCAGCTATGAGGAAAGATTAGAGGAACTAAATTTATTCTCTCTTGAGAAGAGGCGATTAAGGGGGGATGATCAACATGTATAAATACATCAGTGGTTCATATAATGAATTAGAGATATTCACCCTGAGGAGGAAAAATTTATTCTCTCTTGAGAAGAGGCGATTAAGGGGGGATATGATCAACATGTATAAATACATCAGTGGTTCATATAATGAACTCGGTGTAGAGATATTCACCCTGAGGTCATCACAGAAGACAAGGGGGCACTCTTTACCTTTGGCGAAAAAGAAATTTAATCTCGAAACATGGAAAGGTTTCTCTACAGGGAGAGCTGTGAAAATGTGGAATAGACTCCCTCAAGAGTTGGTTCTGGCCAGCTCCATAGATTCCTTTAAAAAAGGCCTGGATTCTTTCATGGATACACAGAACATTTATAGGTAAAGTTGATCCAGGGAATATCCGATTGCCTCTTGGAGGATCAGGAAGGAATTTTCTTGCCTGCAGGAGCAAATTGGATCATGTTTGCTGGTTTTTTTGCCTTCCTCTGGATCAACTGTGGTTGTAGAATTATAACTTTTGTTTTTCTTTGATGGTTGAACTGGATGGACTTTTGTCTTTTTTTCAGCCAGACTAACTATGTAACTTTGTATGTACTATGATGAAGCTCATGGCTGGCAGTGGGTACCTTGAGGTGTGCTATATGCACTGTGAAGAAGCACATCACTAGCATTTGCATTGGGTATCTTAAGAGGTTCTAAATACAGATTGTTTTTATCTTAAGGTATATTATGCCTTAAGGTAAAAACCTTCTTAGTGCAGATCCTCCTGTCAGTCCCCCCCCCTCTTATAGTTACCTGAGCCTCATCTCGACCCAGCAATGTGCATTAGAGCCAGTTGTCTCTTGAGTCTCTCTCTCCTCACTGGCTCACACAGCAGTGGGAGCCATTGGCTCCAGCTATAGTCAATCATAGTCATTGAACCAAGGAGGACCGCCGGCAGAATGGGGGGCAGAGCCAAACTGTGCTCTGTGCGTGAATGGATCAATGTTTGTCACAAGAGCTCGGCTCAAAATGGCGATAGCGAGGGACGTGCTATTGGGGGCACTCAGCAGGGGGGCAGGAGCCAGGACCGCCGGCAGGGGACACAAAAAAACACATTGGGGTTGCAGGTAAGTATAACATGTTTTTCTTGCCTTTAGAATCACTTTAAGGTATGCTATATGCACTGTGATGTACCTTGCTGTTTACACTCACCTCGCATATCTGAAAGATGTCACTGAATGTCCTGTGATGTAGCTTACATCATATGTAATCACTAAGAAAATCTAAATTTTCATTCCATATATCAATATACTAACAACTCTGAGTTTGCACATACAGTACATGAAGCTAGCTCAAACATGGCTAGAGAAAGCACATGAACCTGTGGAATCTGCAGCTTATGCAACAGTGTCATATTTTTTCTCTATGGAGATAAACCCTTTATTTTCCCATGCTTTAAAGCAGTTCACCTCCCCCTAAACCCAAAAAGGGGGGGAGGGGCTTTTCCTTAAAGAGGTTGGCAGCATTAAAGCTAGGGCCTATATCTGTGAATGTTTACATGTATGCAAAATGCAAATCCGTATCAGCAACTGTGTTCTTCACAATGTTCAGAGCACATTTTACTCATGCATCTGACATTGTGCTGTTCCAATTTCCTTTTGCATCTGACATTGTTTTCCATTTCCTTTTCCATTTTTCCATTGAAATTTTGTGAAAACATCTCTCCATTTTCAGATGAGATCTCTTTGGGAGGCACTGGTGACATAGTATTCCCAGGGTGCAGCTGAGAGGTCAGGCGTACATCACCAGTGCCTCAAACTACAAGGAAGTGTGATTTGGGATCAGCATGCAAAGGTGCATGAACCATGGATTTTTACTATTACGGGGGGAAAATCTACTTTAACCACTAGCCTACAGGGCACTTATACCCCCTTCCTGCCCAGGCCAGTTTTCAGCTTTCAGCGCTGTCACACTTTGAATGACAATTGCGCAGTCATGCAACACTGTACCCATATGAAATTTTTATCATTTTTTGAGACAGATAGAGCTTTTTTTTTGGTGGTATTTAATCAAATCTGAGTTTTTTACTTTTTACTAGACAAACCAAAAACAACTGAAAATTTTGAAAAAAAAAGTTTTCCTTAGTTTTTGTTATAACATTTTGTAAGTAAGTGATCTTTCTCCTTCACTGATATGCGGTAATAAGGCTGCAGTGATGGGCACTGATAGGCTGCACTGATATGTGGCACTGATGGGCACTGATGAGGAGGCACTAGTAGGTGGCACTGATGGGCATTGACAGGCATCACTGATGGGCACTGAAAGGCATCACTCATATATGGTACTGATAGGTGGCACTGACTGGCATTGATAGGTGGCACTGACTAGCACTGTTAGGCAGCACTGACTAGCACTGTTAGGCAGCACTGATGGGCACTGATAGGCAGCACGGATGGGCACTGATAGGTGGCACTGACTGGCACTGATAGGCGGCACTGACTGGCACTGATAGGTGGCACTGATTGGCAGCACTGATAGGTAGCACTGACTGGCATGATAGGTGGCACTGACTGGCACTGATAGGTGACACTGAAAGGCAGCTCAGATGGGCACTGACATGTGGCATTGATGTGCACTGGTAGGCACTGATATGTGGCATTGATGAGGCAATGATGGGCACTGGCAGGTGGCATTGATGGGCAATGACAGCTGGCATTGATGGGCACTGACAGGAGGCACTGCTGGGGCTACACTAATCATCAGGGCACACTGATCATCAGTTCCCTGATGATCAGTGTACATGTCCCCTCCGAGGAATGCCGATTTCCGGCTCTCCTCTCCTCTCGAGCTGATCACATGACCGAGCCAACATCTCCGGCTCTTTCCGTTGATCGGTGATCTGTTGTGTCCCAGGGACACAGTGTACCACTGATCACTGCGCTGTGAGCTCCCGGAACCGCACATGCGAGGTTAGAGTGGGAGGACGTCATATGACGTCTTCCCAGAACGAGAGAACTGCCTTGCGCCCGTCATTACCTTATATGGTGGGCAGGAAGCGGTTAAAGGAACCTTTCAGGTCAAGTGAAGGCACTAAATAATATATCCAAATGGGTGTTTATAAAAAGGACAGGCTATTTGAAGTGAAGTCTGGGGGAATACTATTATCCAGGGTGAAAACAACTTCTTTGGTAATGTGGTCCCTTTGCCTCCTGCAATCAAAACATTTATCTTTCTTTTCCAACACTGCCTAATTACTAGAGTAAGGTTCTCTGGTCAACAGAGAAGAGGGAAGGCTCTACCTGCATTTTCCTTCATGTTTCAGCAGGAGCAGGAAAATTTTAATTAATTTTCTAACTCGGGTACTTTTCTCCTTTTTCCTTTATGTTTTTTTTTTTGTTGAATTCTTGTTATTAGAGATAGCACTCGGGGGACAGAGGACCAGACTGAAAAGGCTTAGAAAGTGAAAATACACCAAATACCTCAGCAGTCTATATTTAAAACCTTCAGCCAGAACGACATCTTTCCTGACTTCTGCAAATTACAACATATGATCTGGTATTTCACTTCAGTGGTTTGCCATCTCATCAAATGATACAACTGACACATGCTTGCAACCAACACAGGTACAAATAGTAGGCTGCTGGTAAGTAGATGGCAACATTGAACATTAAGAGAAACCCTAAGGGAGAGTTATATGGCCAGTATACAGCACATAGTCCTATGAATTATACTTTGAAAATCTTGTTATCAGATACTTCTTTTAAGTGGGGTTGACATCGCTTACCTACCGTATTTTCCGGCGTATAAGATTACTTTTTATACTTAAAAACATACCACAAAAATCGGGGGTCGTCTTATACGTATGGTATACAATGTGAACCTTTAGTTTGTTTGGGTCAAGCTGGCTCAAAACGATCGTCCCTACTAATCTGTCAGCCCGCTGGATGTGCGGTAATGCTGTATGTACGGTAGCTTCGGCTACATACAGTATATAGTTATACAGTATACCGAGCACCAAGCTGGCTAAAAACGAACATCCCTACTGTAATCTGTCAACCTGCTGGATGTGTGATAATACTGTACATACAGTATACCGCGCTGAGCCAAGCTGGCTCAAAACGAACGTCCCTACGGTAATCTGTCAGCCAGCTGGATCTGCGGTAATGCTGTAGGTACGGTAACTTCGGCTACATACAGTATATAGTTATACAGTATACCGCGCTGAGCCAAGTTGGCTAAAAAGAAACGTCCCTATGGTAATCTGTCAGCCTGCTGGATGTGCGGTAATACTGTACATACAGTATACAGTATACCATGCTGAGCCAAGCTGACTCAAAACGTACCGGTACGTCCCTGTGGTAATCAGCCTGCTCGATGTGCGGTAATACTGTATGTACGGTAGCTTCGGCTACATATAGTATACCGCGCTGGGCCAATCACGGAGAGTGATGTATTCTATTAATGAATACAAAGCCTGCTCAGATTGGCTGAGGTTGTGACATCATTAGCCTGCCTCTCTGACTCAGCCAATCCCAGCAGGCTTTGTACAGCTGACGGAGCCAAACTAAGACCAGTGATTATTTTTAAAAGAAAAACAATGCCGAAAATCAAGTTCCCTGTTGGATTTTATGTACAAGTGAATGAAAAAGGCTGGATGGATGAAGAAGGGGTAAAGCTATGGCTTGATAATGTATGGAGTAGGCGACCAGGTGGACTTTGTCAAGAACGTAGCCTACTGGTGTGGGATATGTTCAGGGATCATTTAACTACCAGCACAAAGAAAAGGCTGGCAAGAATAAACACACATGCGGCAGTTATTCTTGCAGGATTGACATCGTTGGTACAGCCACTGGATGTGTGCCTAAACAAGTAATTTAAAGATCGCGTTCGAGAACAGTGGAATGAGTGGATGGTTAGCGGCGAAAGGTGATTCACAAAAGGAAACATGCATGCTCCACAATTGGATGTTTTCTGTAACTTTGTCATAAAAGCCTGGAATGATATTGATACAGAAAAAGTAATCAAGTCTTTCAAGAAGTGTGGCATAGCAAATTCATTGGATGGTATGGAGGACGACTACTTGTGACAAAATGAAGGGGAAGCCGAAGCTGAAGCCACATCATCTGATTTGGAATTAGATCCATATGATGACTGTCTTACAAATGTATCAGAAAATGTCATTGATGAACTTATGATGTCAGAGGATGAACATGATGAGGATTTTGAAGGATTTTAAGTACCGGTAAGTCATAACCATTTCAGTTAAAAAATCTGATGTTTTTAAATGGTGTTGCCTCAGAAGGGGAGTAGTCTTGTACGGCAAGTATAGCTCAAAACCTATGTTTTAACTGGAAAATTAGGGGGTCGTCCTATACACCCAGTCGCCTTATACGCTGGAAAATTTGGTATTTCAATACAATGCAAAATCTGTACCTCTTTTTATCACCTGAATGCAGACTAAAAATCAATGTGAAGGGTTTGGGATTACCTCAGTAATAAAATGTTAGGTACACTTGTTTCTTCTTCAAATGTAGCGCCCTCTAGGGGTGCTAGGGAGGAATATGTAGTTTGGCTCACAGAAGTAACTTCAGTTACAGAAGTAACTGAAGTGAGCATGTCTGTTTGGGTTTACTTTAGGTTCGGCTGGAGGGCTCTACAGGTCAGGCCTCTGGTACCTCCCCCTTGTCTTCCAGTAGATTATAGAAGCTAGTGGATGGAGGGGTGAAGATCAAGATCTGTATATTCATGGGACTCTGACCAATCCCAGGCAGGAGGCCTAGCAGTGTGGTAGATTGGCCCATAAATATGAAAGCCTAGCCAGCAGGGGAGTCTGGTGATCGGGTGGATTATGGAATGTTGAGGATCCTGAGTCCTGGGAGGGGCCCCCTGGGAAGGGGGGCTATGCCTCCAGGCTGGAGCTTAGGAAGGAAGGAAGGAACTAAGGAAGGAGGGAAGACGCTAGAAAGAGGGAACATCACTACGAGTTCTATCCAGGAGGCATCCTGCCCATCATGTAAAGACTTGTACAGTTACAAGGACTGAACATGTAGTCTTGTCCTACGCAGCAGGATACAAGGGGCAAAATGATTACCTCTACACCCCCAGGACCTATAAGGGAGAAGACAGCTAGATGCAATATTCAGCATGCTTTCATGGGGACAGTGTTACAGCTAACCTAATTCCTTGATCTGGGACACTTATCCAAAACCAGCCAGGTGAGCTGGCATTTTTTCTTACCAAGTATTTGGACTTTGTGAGAGTTCACACAAGGGGACATAGGGCTTCTAAAAGTAACTTTGCTATGGATCCTTAAAGGGACTAATGCTACTCCAGTTGGAGTAACATCCAGGATCCATTTTTTGTACATAAACGCAGGAAGTTTGTCCTCAGCTGTTATTTCAGGTCAAGTTGGGCATCCCATAACACCTAATCCATATCCAAGTTGTTTTCCCCTAAATAAAACAACAAAAACAAGCCCATGGACTGGATTCTTGGCTACTGTGCAGGAAATAGGTGGCCACTTAGGAAATATGAACAGGAGCCAGGCGCTGTGTAGTTTTGTGATAAAAATAATACACCTTGTATGGAGGTGTGCCTTTAATAAGTCATATGGGTAAAAAAAATAATAAATAACCAGCCTGTGGCTTTAGGAAGCCAGGTTCCAAGATGGACGGCCCGTCCGCTCAGAGGGAAGCAGTGGAGTAGAATGCCTGTCAGTGCAGGGACCACGTGTACCCGACGTCCCAGCATCCTGGATGACGTCACCACGATGTGGAGAGACGGAGGGGGGGAACTCTTGCTGGAGCCGCAGCTTTAGAAGGAAGAGGCCGGTTGCTGGGGCAACATGTTTCGCGCGCATGCGCTTTGTCAAGTCTCCCTAAAGCCACAGGCTGGTTATTTATTATTTTTTTACCATATGACTTATTAAAGGCACACCTCCATACAAGGTGTATTATTTTTATCACAAAAAACTACACAGCGCCTGGCTCCTGTTCATACCTCCCACAAACCGATGTGTTTTTACCATGGCAGCAGTGAGTTTTTTTTCCCCACCAATCATAGTTGACATATACCATTCACTTATTTCCTTTGGGACACATCTGTGCGCTTTTATCCAGACCACTTAGGAAACGCTAGACAAATATAATTTCTGTGTAAAACTTTTCTTTCTTCCATTTGCTTGTTTCCATTATTACAATGACACAGTATACAATGCATTCCTTATACACAGTTGCATACATGATTTACAAATATTATCTTGTTGCTGGGACCAACACACTCTGGCTTGCCTGTTTGTGGGGGTAGACATTGATGTGGCATTTTATACACTCTTGTCCCATGTTGGCCCACGAGTTTCCACTCATCCATTTCCGTTTGCACTTCGGACATTTGTATTCCCCAAAACATCGTTTCTTTCCTTGATATGGGGTTAGACCTTCACCCTTTGGACGAGCCTGGCAAAAAAAAGGGGGATGTATTTAATTTGTCATATCCTGAAAACTGACCTGACATGTAATAAAATACTTCACTGTGAGCCGGTTTATCACACTAGAAGTAGTATACAACCCAAAAGTTGAATAAGAATAACAAAAAGGTTAGTTTGCTTCATGACAAAATTACCTGTAAAGATATCAATACTTTAAAATATACTGTATATCCCCTTTGTTTACCATCCCATATATCATGTTCGCTATAGATATCATATTATTGGCAGGTGACCTTGTCTAAGAACTGTGGCCTGTGTCTTATCAAGCAGCCCTTCATACTGTCCACTAAGCATTTTGAATTTAGGGAGAGGGGGT